ACTGTTGGATCAATTTTTTTTTCATCCCACGTGGAAAAGTTCCCGGTAGTGACTACCGGTAGTCACTACCGGTAGACATTACCGCTCCCGCTACCGAAATATTCACTACCGGTAATTTTTCCTAGACTACCGGTAGCCACTACCGGTAGTCACTACCGGTAATTTTTCCGGGACTACCGGTAGCCACTACCGGTAATTTTTCCGGGACTACCGGTAGTCACTACCGGTAATTCTTCCGGTACTACCGGTAGTTACTACCGGTAATTTTTCCAGTACTACCGGTAGTCACTACCGGTAGCCACTACCGGTAATTTTTCCGGGACTACCGGTAGTCACTACCGGTAATTCTTCCGGTACTACCGGTAGTTACTACCGGTAATTTTTCTGGTACTACCGGTAATTTTGCCGGTACTACCGGTAGTCACTACCGGTAATTTTGCCGGTACTACCGGTAGTCACTACCGGTAATTTTTTTTTTTACTACCGGTAGTGGCTACTGGTAGTCCCGGAAAAATTACCGGTAGTGACTACCGGTAGGCACTACCGGGAACTTTTCCACCTAGGATTGAAGTTTTCTGTTTCATCGCATAAATTCAAACCCAATGGAATAGTTTAATAAATATTTTAGTAAAAGAATCTTTTTATAAATTCTTTTTTTTTGCATTGGTTAAATTAAATTTTTTTTTTAATTATTTAAAAGTCAATCATATATTAAAAATAATTTAAAAAAAAAAAAGAAAAAAGGATCGATGGTTGAGTGCGCTTTCTAACTTGTTTTATCCTCCTTTTTTTTCGCGAACTGTATATATATATAGTCTTGAAAATTAATTAATCTCGCGGGAGGGAATTATTTTTTTTTGTCTACAAATGAGGAGAACAGAAATCTCTAGTTTTTTTTCCACTCTTGTTGAAAATATATTCATTGAATCATCTGCATAAGTCTTGGAATATCACACGAAATTTGTCGATTCCACTCACAATTAATATATATAAAAATTCTATCGAATCAAATGAATATAAAAAAAAATAAACAAAATAGAAAAAAGGGGATTTTTATACGTCCGAGAAGTTGGCAACGCCATTTCATTTTTTCAAAAAATCAATTTTTGTGCTAAATTGTGCTAATTTTGTGCTAATTTGTGCTGCAAAAATTTTTTTTGAAAAAATTAAAAATAGGGGTCAAAAATTTAAAAAAAACTGTTTTTGGCAAAAAATTTATGATTCACTTTTATTCCAAACAAATCATTTGTCAAGTTATAATGTAACAACAATACAATCTACCAAAAAAAATTAAAAAAAATTTTTTTTTTTAAATACAAAAATTTAATATTCAAAATTAAAATTTTTAACCATAAAACGGAAAAAATATCAATATTTACGAAAAAAATTTTCCTGCTATATTCTGCACGACAAGCACAAAAATAATCTCAAAAAACATTTTTGAAAAACTGTGTTTAATTAAAAGAAATTGCAATTTTATTACTCAAAATTAAGATTTTTAACCCTAAAATGGGCAGATATCAAAATTTTTAAAAATCAATTTTTGTGCACAAAAATAACCTATAAAAATATTTAAGAAAAACTGTATAATTAAACGAAATTACAATTTTTAAAAAATATTTTTAGAGGTTATTTTTGTGCTCGTAAGAATACACCACAGAAATTGATTTTCCAAAATTTTGATAATTGCCCGTTTTAGGGTTAAAAATCTTAATTTTGATTAATAAAATTGCAATTTCTTTTAATTAAACTAAATTTTTCTAAAATGTTTTTTGAGATTATTTTTGTGCTAGTCGTGCAGAATATAGCACAAAAATTGATTTTCCAAAATTTTAATATTTGCCCTTTTTAGGGATAAAAATGTTAATTTTGAGAAATAAAATTGCAATTTCTTTTAATTAAACTCAGTTTTTTAAAAATATTTTTTGAGATTATTTTTGTGCTAGTATTGTAGAATACAGCACAAAAATTGATTTTTAAAAATTTTGATATCTGCCCATTTTAGGGTTAAAAATCTTAATTTTGATTAATAAAATTGCTATTTCTTTTAATTAAACTCAATTTTTCTAAAATGTTTTTTGAGATTATTCTTGTGCTAGTCGTGCAGAATATAGCAGGAAAATTTATTTTCGTAAATATTGATATTTTTTCCGTTTTATGGTTAAAAATTTTAATTTTGAATATTAAATTTTTGTATTTAAAAAAACAAAATTTTTAAAATTTTTTTTGGTAGATTGTATTGTTGTTACATTATAACTTGACAAATGATTTGTTTGGAATAAAAGTGAATCATAAATTTTTTGCCAAAAACTGTTTTTTCAAATTTTTGACCCCTATTTTTAATTTTTTCAAAAAAATTTTTGCAGCCCAAATTAGCACAAAATTAGCACAATTTAGCACAAAAATTGATTTTTTGAAAAAATGAAATGGCGTTGCCAACTTCTCGGACGTGATTTTTAAACAAGAAAAGAAATTCATAGATAATTAAATAAAAAAAATGATAGGCAATAGATAAGATAATATTATGTCGTGTATGATGTAACAAAATTATGGGCTTTATACTTTGGCGCATGGAACGCGATGCTAAATGCTGTCTAATGAACGCGCATGGATATACGGGTAGGACTTTGATACAAAGGATCCTACATATGCTTTATAAAGCTCACGCAACTATTTGCGCACTATGGTTCTCTGAATTTCAGAATATATATATATATATATATGTGAGTCCTAATGAACCTTTGGTTCTTGACGAGTGCGCATCAGCATACGGATACTTTTTTCCCAGCTGAGAGCACCAATGTTGAAACGCTTTGATTAATTAAAACTCGACTTGCAAGAACTACGGTTCATTGCAAAAAAAAAAAAAAAAAAAAAAAAAAAATCCTTCAGTTCTTATTATCAATGATATATGTGGATGCGGTTTCATTATCATTAAACTGAAAGCTCGCATAATTTCTCAAAAGAAGATTCATATCACTATTGATGGAGGGGAAATGATTAATATTGGAAAGAAGATAATTATTCTTTCAATCTTTACATATATATTAGAACAAAATTCAATTAAAACAAATTCTGAATCATATACACAGAAAAAACTTGGACTCATTTTTGTTGCAACTCATTTTCTTTTGGGTATCGAAATGAGTATGGGACAAACTTCATGTTATTCAAAATGATATTGGCTGGAATTTCAGATTTCTAAGTTGGCATCATAAGCAGAGTAATTTTGTATTTCAATTATTGTTTATAATATTTCAACAACACCAGAAAGATTATTTTGACCAGTACGAATATTTAGAAGTTTTTAAATAAAAATTATTTATTATTATTTACGTAGATAATAATTAATTTCATAAGTTTTTAAATTTACCGCCATTATTTAAGTTGGCAGTACCGTTCCTGTTGTCAAAACACATGTTTTCATTTTTCTAACCTAAAAACATATTTCCTTTATTATTTTATTACGCGATTACAAGCAATTTTTAATCAAATATATTAAGTCTAGCGTGTTATTTACTTCTTTGTAATTATTATATTTCATGTTTTTGTGCAAAATTATTCGTTATTTCACAATATTTTTCCATTTTTCTTTTTCTCAAAATGAAACTTGCCTGTTTCATTTTGATACTTTTACCTTAGAACTCGAAATGACACAACCAGTTTCATTTTTGTTGCGAATCAAATTGAGTATAGAATCTATACTCAATTTGAATTCAAGTTTTTTCTGTGTATGAATACAGAAACAAATAAATATTCATATAATGATACAATTTAAAAATTTGTTAAAAATTCTTAAACTGAACAAAACAAATATTTATTATTGGTGTTTTTCCTTTTCTTATTCTTCTTTCAAAATCAATTTTAGAATAAAATAAATTCAAAATTAAGCCAATTCGGAATCAAATTAATGCTGTTTTGAAAAATTTACCATTACTTTAAAAAAAAGGGGTTTTTTTGATACTTGGAACAAAAAAAATCTAATTACGTAAAGATGAAAATTTTGAAGAAATCAGAATAGAAAGTTAGTGATATTGGAGAGAGCATTTGAAATTGGAAAAAGTTTAATATTGAAAGTTCTCTAGTGGGATTTATGTTGGAGATACGATTTAAGAAGAAAAGAATAAGAAGTTTCGTGAAAAATATTGCAATTTTTATTCAAACTCAACTTGAAAAATAAGTTAACGTTTCTATCTGAAAAAAAAAGAAATTCTATCATTTTTACTTGTTGAACATTCGATAAAAATTGACCTTGAATTTATTTCTAAAAATTTTTTTCTAAAAATAAAAAAATTATTCATGCACCAAAAAAAGAAAACATTTATCCTAGGATTTTAACTTAAAGCCTAAAGCATGTCGAACAATTTGAACTCTATATATATAAAGTTCTTTGAATCCGAATTAGAAGAGACTTTTGACAGAGAGCGCAAACTTTAGCCTCGTCTCTGCGCTTCCATATGTCGACAGTGTGGCTAGCGAAGTGACCAATGCTTCGTGCTTTAGAAACTTTAATCAGTCGGGAACGAAGTAATCCTCTGTACTTAATGGGGCTGTCCTCTACATGACCGCGCGATACAAGTTGAAACTCACGTTAAAACCAACGTTTGCTGAAACGTTCTACAACTCTGAAGGGAGGAGATAAAGCGACGATGGTCCGTAAGGATTAAACAGAACCAGCACAGTTGTAAAAAGAAATTAGTCTTTTTCAGTTCTAATCATTAGGTTTCCTCCCAACAAATTCCTTTTTTTTCCCCCAGAAAAGAAAATAAAACATTATCATTTTCCCGCGGAATAAATTTCAAATTGTTATCTAGGAACATTAGTATCTGAAAAAAACTATTTTAATTTTACTAAACAATCTTAACCTTTTAACTACCGTCGGGGTCTTTCGGACATAAAGATCACGAGAAAAAAAAAGAATAAAAAAAGTACTGGTGTAATTTTCTTTTCGACAATAAATGAAAGAAAAAGAAAAAAATTATTTTGAAATAGGTACTCACCTTTCTTTATTGTTGTTAGCAGTGGGCATGGGAGTTGGTACTCTCGGTGGTGGAACGGGAATGGCTTTTCGTCTTCCAGCATTTGGATTCTGGTGGACGGTCGGTGTAACTCGTCCTGTAGGAGCAATTCGTCCTGCAGTTCGAGGACGTTCCGTTCGCACGTCCATCGCAAATCTAGAAAAAAAAAATCCAAAGTTAATTCGCACCGCTTACAAAAAAAATTGACTCAATTAGTTTAAAAGAAAAATCTCCTTAAATATATTTCTATGGCATTTAAATATATTAATTAATATTTAAATTAATATAAATATTAATTTGTTAATAATTATTTTGATATTCATATATTTATATATCTTCCTATATTACAAAAAGATATCGCCGCCGCCGCCGCTGTTTCAAGAATTCTTGACCTAGGAGGGGGGGAGTCCCCCCTCCTAAATATTGAGGTTATGTTCGTTTCAAGGCTCTGAATTTAGCCACAAGTCCCCCCTCCCTCCTCTCATTTCCCCTCCTCCGCCAAAATGGCCTAAATTTTGAGGTTATGTTCGTTTCAAGACTCTGAATAAAACCGCAAGTTCCCTCCCCTCCCCCGCCAGAAATGACCTAAATTTTGAGGTTATGTTCGTTTCAAGACTCTGAATATAGCCGCAAGTTCCCTCCCCTCCTCCGTCAAAAATGACCTAAATTTTAAGGTTATGTTCGTTTCAAGGCTCTGAATATAGCCGCAAGTCCCCCTTCCTCCTCTCATTTCCCCTCCTCCGTCAAAAATTACCTGAATTTTGAGGTTATGTTCGTTTCAAGGCTCTGAATATAGCCGCAAGTCCCCCTCCCTTCTCTCATTTCCCCTCCTCCGTCAAAAATGACCTAAATTTTGAGGTTATGTTCGTTTCAAGACTCTGACTATAGCCGCAAGTCCCCTCCCCTCCCCCGACAGAAATGACCTAAATTTTGAGGTTATGTTCGTTTCAAGGCTCTGAATATAGCCGCAAGTCCCCCTCCCTCCTCTCATTTCCCCTCCTCCGTCAAAAATGACCTAAATTTTGAGGTTATGTTCGTTTCAAGACTCTGAATATAGCCGCAAGTCCCCTCCCCTCCTCCGCCAAAAATTGACCTAAATTATGAGGTTATGTTTGTTTTAAGACCCTAATAAAGCAGTAAGTCCTTCCCCCTTCCCTCATCTCTCTCTTTATTTCCCGCCAAAAATGACATAAATTTTAAGGTTATGTAAATTTCAAGACTTTCAATATAGCCGCAAGTGAAGGTGGAGTTTTCGCCAAAAATGACTTGAATTTAAAGGTTATGTTCGTTTCAAGACTTTTTAATAATTTATTGGTTTTTAAGCAATTTCATTGAAATTATTTTTAAAAATAATTTCTTAATGTCGATTTTAATTTATTTAATTATTTATTTATTATTAATTTAATTAATTTATTAATTAAAATTTAATAATTTTAATTTTAATAATATTTATTCAGATTTCAATGAATTTGTAATAATAATTCTTTGAAATAGGTGGTTCATTTGGAAAAATAATATCAATGGAAAATTAATAAAAAATAGTATATATATATATATATATATATATATTTGTACTTTATATGAGAATCATTCCAATACTTTACTTTTTTCAATTGTCACAACATATTATTATCACTTGCTTATTGTTCAAAATTGTCTTTTTAATGTAATTCGAATTTCAATATAAGACTTTACATTTTAAATAATTCAATGATAAGAAACAATGATTATTCAAAAGTAATTATTATGAAATTATTTTTATGTTAAATGAGTATAGTCGTACTCGAAACTTTAACAATAAAAGTTTAGAAATTAGTTATATATCAAATATGATTGTGTATTTATTATTTTGGGCGTATTTTGCATCGTTCGCTGAAACTCGTACGGTAATCATATAACATAATTAAATGTTTAAAAAAAAAAAATGATCAGTAGAACCCTAAAATTTATCAAAAATAAAAGAAAATTTTTTTTTTATAAACATAATAATTTAGATTACAGATGTAGTAAACAAAAATAATGCTACACTTGATGATATCACTATGTTTGGCACTAATGCTTCACGTAATAATTCCATTGGAACAAGTTACATAACTGCACTTAATAGCAAAATAACTTCTGCTGGCAATGTTTTGCTGAATCATACCAATGGAACTAGTTATTCAACCACAACTAATAGTAGAACAACTCCTGCGATCAATGATATCATTCGAACTACATCAAATGGAATTGTAACTAATGGTACAATTATACCAAAGGGGACAATTATAAATTCAACGACAACTCGTCATAAGCCTAAAACACATGTTGAGGATATAAAAAATAAAATTTCTAATAAAACAACTCAAATTTCTTCAACATCATCTAAAATACAAATATTTCCAATTGAATTTACTCAAAATTCACTACCACTCTTATTGGGTGGATGGACATTGTTGAAATTGGGACGAGGACTATTTGGAGATGGTATATTTAGACGTGGTATATTTGGAGGAATAGTGTTGAAAATTATGTCAGATCGAGGTTTATTAGGATAACAATATAGTGGAGAAAAAATTATAATATTTTTATTAATTATTACTACAATGAAAAAATTTGATTTTAACAACAAAACATTTGATTTTTTTTTGTTCTGTTGGGTCAATAAAATTTTACTTTCTTAAATCATGCATTTTGCGTGTTGTCAAAACAAAACCATTTTTTTTATAATTATAATTAGAATAATTACAATTCTTAATTAATCATATATGTTATAAAATAAAATTATTATTCATATCGTGATATATATTTTTCAATCGTTACTTACTATACATGAAACAATGGATTAATAAATAATATGGACCAAATATAATATATTCTCCTTTTTACTTTTGTATTCCGATTGAGGCAAAACGGAAATGCTTTAAAATATCAATGATTATGCTGATAATAATAATAATAGAAACAAATAATAATAATAATAAAAACAGAAATAAAATTATTGTTATCATTATAATGATTAATGTATTTAAATCGAAATAGTGGAGCACTCGTAAAAATTGCATATTTTGTTCTTGCACTGTAACGTCATTGTTGAAAACAAAAAAAAAAAAAAAAAAAAAAATGCACTTCTATTTATTTTAAGAAAGCAATCCTCAATCTAAAGGTATAGGTCTCTATCTCTTTCTCTCTCCTATATTCCTGACTGTGTCTAGAGCGAACAGGTAAATTGCAAAGTGCTGGCGTTATAGTCAGAGACATAAAAGTGCCATTTCGCTTTCTTTCTCTCATTCTGCTTCGCACTCTCTCAAAAAGCCGCCACATCAAGCGAATGAGTGAAAAAATAGCAAGAGGGTACAAGAAACGGAATACTATACACAGCACAGTATCAAAAAAAAAAAAAACATAAAACGACGACGGCAACATATTATTTAAAAAAAAAAATCTCCGCGACTATATGTATGACTTATTTTTTCTACCCTCCTCTTTTCTCATTATCCAGAAAATATTATTTTGACATTCATTCAATTGTAATAATATAGTTTATCTATTAAATAAACCACATTGTTTCGCACTTTGAAATAAAAAAAAAAAAAACAATTATTAAGAGGACAATATGATTTTAATTGTTTTTTAGAGGTGAAAAAAATACTGCGCTGATGAAAAAAAAAATAATAATAATAATAATAATAATAATAATAATAATAAAGAGAAAAGAGGATAGAAAAAAAATGTGTTTTACCATAGATAAATCAATGCTCAAGAGATTCACTGCAATTTTCCATTCTGTGATCTTGTCTATATATGCAGGGATTCGTTTTCAATTAAATGATCAAGTTCGGAATGGCATGATAATTAAAAAATGTATACCTGACTTTGAAAAAAAAAAAAAAATTTTTTTCTAACATTAGTTTTTTTTAAATTAAAATTTCATTTTAATATTTAATATTATTATTATATACATTAAAATTTGGCTAAAGTCACTTCTTTTCACGACGTGAAAATAGACAAATGGCTAAAATCACGCCTTTCTACGGAGTGAAAATAGACATTTGGCTAAAGTCAAGCCATTGCACTGCGTAAATATAGCCAATTTTCTAAAGTCACGCCGTGAAAATAACCAATTGTCTATTTTCACGCCGTGAAAAGGCGTGATTTTAGCGAAATGTCTATTATTATGCCGTACAATGACGTGAAAATAGACAATTGGCTAAAATCACATCTTTTCACGGCGTGAAAATAGATATTTGGTTATTTTCACGGCGTGACTTTAGAAAATTGGCTATATTTACGCAGTGCAATAACTTGACTTTAGCCAAATGTCTATTTTCACGCCGTGAAAAGGCGTGATTTTAGCCATTTGTCTATTTTCAGGACGTGAGAATAACCAAATGGTTAAAATCACGCCGTAAAATGACTTGACTTTAGCCAAATGTCTATTTCCACGCCGTCAAATGACATGAAAATAGACAATTGGCTAAAATCACATCTTTTCACGGCGTGAAAATAGATATTTGGTTATTTTCACGGCGTGACATTAGAAAATTGGCTATATTTACGCAGTGCAATGGCTTGACTTTAGCCGAATGTCTATTTTCACGCAGTGAAAAGGCGTGATTTTAGCCATTTGTCTATTTTCAGGACGTGAGAATAACCAAATGGTTAAAATCACGCCGTAAAATGACTTGACTTTAGCCAAATGTCTATTTCCACGCCGTGAAATGACGTGCAAATAGACAATTGTCTAAAATCACGTCTTTTCACGGCGTAAATATAGATAATTTTCTAAAGTCACGCCGTGAAAATAACCAAATGTTTTGCCGTGAAAAAGATGTGATTTTAGCTAATTGTCTATTTTCACGTCATTTTACGGCATAATAGACATTTGGTTAAAGTCACTTCTTTTCAATACGTGAAAATAGACAAATGGCTAAAATCACGCCTTTTCACGGCGTGAAAATAGGCATTTGTCTAAAGTCAAGTCATTTTACGGCGTGAAAATAGACATTTGGCTAAATTCTATCCATTCCACGGCGTAAATATAGACAATTCTCTAAAGTCACTCCGTGAAAATAACCAAATGTCTATTTTCACGCCGTGAAAAGATGTGATTTAAACCAATTGTCTATTATCATACCGTAACATGACGTGAAAATAGACAATTGGCTGAAATCACATCTTTTTACGGCGTGAAAATAGATATTTGGTTATTTTCACGGCGTGACTTTAGAAAATTGGCTATATTTACGCAGTGCAATGGCTTGACTTTAGCCAAATGTCTATTTTCACTCCGTAAAAAGGCGTTATTTTAGCCATTTGTCTATTTTCAGGACGTGAGAAATGGCTAAAATGACGCCGTAAAATGACTTGACTTTAGCCAAATGTCTATTTCCACGCCATGAAATGACGTGAAAATAGACAATTGGCTAAAATCACGTCTTTTTACGGCGTAAATATAGACAATTTTCTAAAGTCACGCCGTGAAAATAACTAAATGTTTTGCCGTGAAAAGATGTGATTTTAGCCATTTGTCTATTTTCACGTCATTTTACGGCATAATAGACATTTGGCTAAAGTCACTTCTTTTCACTACGTGAAAATAGACAAATGGCTAAAATCACGCCTTTTCACGGCGTGAAAATAGATTTAAACATAACCTTAAATTTCAAGGACATATATCAAATGACCGTTGGGTTTTTTTACGATTAAAGAACATTATAAATAATATATTAGATTAAAATAATAATAATAATAATTTTTATCGATAAAAGAGTTGAGTCCATTTTTGCTTGTAGTAAGTCTTTTTTGATTTTCGCTACTCGCGAACCGGAAACGATAAAGTAAACCCAACGTGCACCACGTGCTCTACAAGAGGGAAGCTAATACGAAGAATATCAGCGGTTCGATATTTAAATGTCCGTTTTATGGTGTGTGTAAATATATACCTATATATATATATGGGACGTTCCATGTCAACCGGATCAGTGCTCTGTACATAATTGTATGGGATCAATTGAAACGTTTAAGGTCTTAAAATGTTCATCTCGTAGTACTTTAACATTTACAATATGGCCGTTTTAAAAATTCAAAATGGCGGCCGAATTATGACACATTATATGGCTGAAATGTAGAAAATGTATAATTAAAACATTATTTAAGAAGCAAAAAATGTTCGAATTGGCATTAAATTGATCACCAACAGTGCTAGGGGTTTACAGAATTAAAAAATGCTGACATTTTTCAAAATTTTCAATAATACAAAATTGCAGATCCAAAATGGAGGAATAGTTTTAAAAATATGACTCAATTTACTCGAAACTTAGGACTCGGGGGTTTTTGGGGTCGCTGATTACAAATCTGAACTCAGTTTTCAAAAATACAAAATGGCGGATCCAATATGGCAGGCTGTTTTATAAAAAAATTACCCAATTCACTCAAAACTTGTGACTCGGGGGTTTTTGGGGTCGCTGATTACGAAACCGATGATAGTTTTCAAATTCAAAATGGCGGATCTAATATGGCGACTAACTTTTATAAAATTAATTAAATTCACTTGAAAATTGCCACTCAAGAGTTTTTGGGGTCGCTGATTACGAATCCGATAATAGTTTTCAAAAATTCAAAATGGCGGATCCAATATGGCGAACTGTTTTTCAAAAAATAACCCAATTCACTCGAAACTTGTTTTACACTCCCGAGTCACAAGTTTCGAGTGAATTGGGTAATTTTTTTTAAAACAGCCCATCCATATTGGATCCGCCATTTTGTATTTTTAAAATTGAGTTCAGATTTGTAATCAGCGACCCCAAAAACCACCGAGTCACAAGTTTCGAGTGAATTGGATAATTTTTTTTAAAACAGTTCGCCATATTGGATCCGCCATTTTGTATTTTTGAAATCTTAGTTTAGATTTGTAATCAACGACCCCAAAAACCCCCGAGTGACAATTTTCAAGTGAATTTAATTAATTTTATAAAAGTTAGTCGCCATATTAGATCTGCCATTTTGAATTTGAAAACTATCATCGGATTCGTAATCAGCGACCCCAAAAACCCCCGAGTCACAAGTTTCGAATGATTTGGGTAATTTTTTTTAAAACAGCCCGCCATATTGGATCCGCCATTTTGTATTTTTGACAACTGAGTTCAGATTTGTAATCAGCGACCCCAAAAACCCCCGAGTCCTAAGTTTCGAGTAAATTGAGTCATATTTTTAAAACTATTCCTCCATTTTGGATCTGCAATTTTGTATTATTGAAAATTTTGAAAAATGTCAGCATTTTTTAATTCTGTAAACCCCTAGCACTGTTGGTGATCAATTTAATGCCAATTCGAACATTTTTTGCTTCTTAAATAATGTTTTAATTATACATTTTCTACATTTCAGCCATATAATGTGTCATAATTCGGCCGCCTTTTTGAATTTTTAAAAAGGCCATATTGTAATTATTAAAGTACTTCGAGATGAACATTTTAAGACCTTAAACGTTTCAATTGATCCCATACAATTATGTACAGAGCACTGATCCGGTTGACATGGAACGTCCCATATATATATATACGAATGTGACTCTGGAAAGTTTTCAAACCAAGTGATTTCCGGATTTCATCCGGATGGAACATCGTTGACGTTTTATATATATGTCAAGAAACATTTCTCCAACATTATATTTTTTTGTATCTTCTT